CCAACTCTGGTGATAAAAGGCAGGGGGCGGAGATAAATAGATGCGGCAGACAACTATTCATCTTCCAGCCAGCCAGACTTGTTAGTCCCACAGTGAGAGAAACTTTTTGCCGGGGCTGCTGGCGCTCCTAATAAAGGAATCTTTTGACTTCCCTTCAGAGGGTTTGTTGTGTTTGGAGAGCTGGGTCAGAACAGCTATTTGGTTCCCCTTTTAGACGTCAGATTAAAAACTGCTCAAAAATAAAGCATCTGTTGTTCTAGCAGAAAGAATTGAGAAGAATTAAGAGCCGAGTTCTGCAGTTCAGCGGTTCTAATCTCACCGGCTCAAGGTTGACTCAGCCTTCCATCCTTCCGAGGTGGGTAAAATGACACTGTGGGGGCGATATGCAGACTCTGTAAACCGCTTAGAGAGGGCTGAAAGCCCTATGAAGCGATATATAAGTCTAACTGCTATTGCTATTGCTACTTCAGCTGACTGCTAGTTCAGCAGTTCAGTGGTTCAAATCTCACCGGCTCAAGGTTGACTCAGCCTTCCATCCTTCCGAGGTGGGTAACATGACACTGTGGGGGCGATATGCTGACTCTGTAAACCGCTTAGAGAGGGCTGAAAGCCCTATGAAGCGATATATAAGTCTAACTGCTATTGCTATTGCTACTGCTAATTGATTTTTAACTTTTTACCTCTTTCCCCCTCCTTTTTTATTTCTTTTTAGTGCATTCCCAGAAACAAAACCGACAGACCTGCGTACGGAAGAGTTTAATATGCGCTTTTGCTATGGCCTTTATTATCAGCGTCATGTTGATCGCAGCCAATCAAATCCTCCGAAGTGGCATGGAGTAGCCATAACACTGTGAAACCAATGATCCACGCATGCGCATGCTGCCCGGTGAACTAATCTCCCTGATCAACTTTCAAATCAACGGGCAAAGGAGAGAGAGAGAGAGAGAGGGAAAAAAAAGAGAGAGAGAATAAGAGAGAAAGAGAGAACATGTGAACAAGAGCGAAGGTTAAGAGGAGCGGTTCGGCAGGAAAACTGTATCCGGCAGCATATCTGTAAATCAACCATATCCTCTTGGCAGGGACATCAAAGGGCTGTCTTAATGCTTTAATGGGGTTTTTTTTGTTTTGTTTCCTAATGCAATAAAAAAAAGAAAAGAAAACCATAAGCCCTGAATTATATTTTTGATGTGGTAGCAGTAGATGAAAACAAGGATGCATCGATCAAGTCTCAGAAACTGGTTGCGTGGTAGCATCGCCTACTGGCCAGGACACTTTCATGCATCTGTTTTTAAGTGTCCCACCTTCCAGGAAATGGAATGTCCACATCACCACAAGCAAGTTTGAGACCACGATCTCTACGATTTCATCTGACTTCAGGGGTTTTTTTTTGATTCAAGTGCTGAAGGAACCAGTGAAAAAATCCATGTCTGGAGACACGGATATGAATGAAGCTGGTTCAGAGAAGTTTTTGTTCTTCATCTACGAGACATAAGACTGGCCCAGCGTTTTGTGTTTTCAAACCAGTGCATTCCACTCATCCACTTCCTGCTTTCCCATCAACGCTTTTATGTAAGGAAAACGAAGTTATGCTGGGCGTGTCACAGAAGCCAATGCAGAGTCTTCCTATCCTGTTTTCCAACGATGCTGTAAAAAGTTATTGGGCGCCTTGATCCAATGTATAAATAGCTTCATATTCAATATACAGTCTCTATTGATCTTATTCCAATCTGTCTTATACCAAGATTTCCAAACAGAGTTTTGGAGGTTGCTCCCAGCTTAATATCTTAGCACATTTTGCTACAGCGATCCTAAAGGTAAATGATATCTATATATGATTGTAGTGTGAGGGTTTAAAATGGATCGAGGGAGTGCTAATTGTCTTGAAGCCTGATGTGAGGTTGCTCCTGCTTTAGGATGGACATCTCCAGTTGAGTTTTTCCCAATGAGAGCATGGATTGGTCCACCACCGCAGACCATAATAGCCTTAAATGCAAAGATGGGGATAGCTCAGTCAACCAGTAGCCAGGAACAACTTGGTGATATATGATAAGGAAAGGAAATTGCTCTAGAAGCAGGCGCCAGAATTTACCTAACATACTTTTCGTGTCCCCCAGACTGTGTGGCTGAGATTGTAACTCATGTGACTTTCCTCTGATTAAGCTCCCTCAAATTGAATGAGGCTTCTTCTATCTGTTGGGGTTAAACCAAATTGATTGGAAATGAAGCAGAGGTGGGCCAATGTTAGAGTTGACCTCAGTTTATTTCTGGGGTGGTGTTGGGTGGGGCATAATGTAATATGGAGACACAGCCTGTTTGACTAGTTTAGGAGACATACTGTACATTGTGTTTAGGATACATATATTGTGTGAATTATCCATAATTCTATGAAATAAACTGTATGAACATAGTTCTCGGGGAGCCATACGCAAGAGTGTAGCTCCAGTACTACTTCTCCCTTGTTTGCATTTCCCTTAACTTTCCTAGCACACATATGTATGGAGGGGATGCACAGATGCATAAATTGGAATGAATTCCACTGAGTGAATTCACTTGTATGAATCGGAAGGGACCTCATAAGTCATCCAGCCTGACTCCTTGCTCCGTACAAGAAGCCACAAAATCCTTCATGCTAAGCTACGAGCTTCTCGTTTGAAATCTGCAGCAAGGAGTAGTCCATCATTGGTCTTGGTAGACCATTGGACCAATAAGCAGGTTGTACCGTGGGTGTGTATGTGTGTGGTCTGTGCGCATATAAAGTCAAGCTTAGTTTGTGGTGAGTTTGTGTATGTATATATAGAAAAAAAAAACCACCATGTAATTTTCCTGGCAACGCTGCAGAAATGGTTTTGCTGTTTGCCTCCTGTGTGTTCACATACACATATCTGCATATATAGAAAATGTTGTACTTCAAATTTTTCACATGAACTGTGAACCTGTGCTACCCTATTCAGAACACCCCAACTCTCCTTTAGGTAGCCAGATCATCAAAATAAATCTGTGTTATTTTTTTATTATTATTCTAGTTTTTAAATATAAGAGATTTCTATCGTTCTTTGCAGGGATGTGGTGGCTCAGCGGCTATGACGCTGAGCTTGTCGGTCAGAAAGGTCGGCAGTTCGGTGGTTTGAATCCCTAGTGCCGCATAACGGAGTGAGCTCCCGTTACTTGTCCCAGCTTCTGCCAACTTAGCAATTTGAAAGCACGTAAAAAATGCAAGTAGGGAAAATTGGGACCACCTTTGGTGGGAAGGTAACAGCGTTCTGTGTGCCTTTGGCATTTAGTCATGCTGGCCACATGACCACGGAGACGTCTTCGGACAGCGCTGGCTCTTCGGCTTTGAAATGGAGATGACCACCGCCCCCTAGAGTTGAGAATGACTAGTACATATGTGCGAGGGGAACTTTTACATTTACCTTTACCTTATCCTTCTCTGCACAACCACCTGAAAGTAGTTTAGAAAAACTTAGAGAATTTGTAGCGTGACTGCAGCAGCAGCAAAATAAAAAATAAAAAATAGAAGTAATAAAGGTGAACAACAAAATAATAGCTTAATATAGCCAATTACCAACAGGTAGTCCTTACTTACCACATTTCATTTAATGACCATTTGAAGTTCCAACGGTTCCAACGGCCTTGAAAAACTGTATGACTGTTTTTCACACTTATGACGATTGCAGCCTCCCCGTGATCACGTGATTAAAAATTCAGAAGCTTGGCAACTGACTCATATTTACGACGGTTGCTGTATCCTGGGCTCGCGCAATCCCCTTTTGCAAATCTTCTGACCAGCAAAAATCATTGGCGAAGCCAAATTCGCTTAGCAACTGGAGTGGTTTCCTTAACAGAGGTGGCAAGAAAGGTCGTGAAATGGGGCAAAATTCACTTAACGACTCCATTGTGGTCGTAAGTCGAGGACTACCTGTAATAGAAATGATTTAATGTAGGGGCAACAATGTTTAAGGGATGAAGAGGGATCCGAAAATGAAGACGATGCACCTGGCAAGCATTTTCCCCTTTTTATATTTAGAGATAAAAATTAAAGCATGTTGCAAACGCGGCTGAGAATCCTTAGCGTGTGTGTTTGCCTAGCAACTAAAATCCCACAAACTGGTGCCAATATTGGAGCACTCAAAAAAGCCTTTTGTGTTGTTTCAGAACAATTTGGCTCAGCAGGAAGGCATGAATTGACCAGTGGCCAATCAAACATGCAAATTAGGCATCCAACATGAAGTTCTTGGATTATGTTGTTTGACCAGCAATTACAAGCATCCTTCCTCCCAAAGGTGTTTTTTTCCCCCCAAAGAGGCCACTGGACTTTCTTGTTTTTCTATGAAGACATTTCGCTTCTCATCCAAGAAGCTTCTTCAGCTCTTGGACTAAAAAAGGTCAAGTTTGTTTTGCTTCTCATCCAAGCTGTGAGCCGAGGTGGCGCAGTGGTTAAATGCAGCACTGCAGGCTACTTCAGCTGACTGCAGTTCTGCAGTTCGGCTGTTCAAATCTCACCGGCTC